ATAACAAGACCCTTTCTCTACAAAAATAAGAAATAAAAAAATTAAAGAATTAACTAGGTGTGGTAGTGTGCGCCTGTAGTCCCAGCTACCCAGAAGATGAGGAGGGAGGATTGACTTGAGCCTAAGATTTCGAAGCTGCGGTGAGCCATGGTCGTGCCACTGTACTCTAGTATGGGTGACAGAATAAGATTTTGACTTACAAAAAAACCAAAACCTAAACAAAGTAATTCCTGAGGTCGTGTATGTGTGCACACTCTATATTTAGTTCTTTCTCTTATTTAATAAAAATGGAATAATTAGATAATCATCTTTTTTTGAACATTAGTTTTCTTTCCTATTTGTGAATGCCTCTGCTAACACTTCAAATGAAAAAAGATAGAAACAAAGTAACTTATTCTGAAACCCCTCTCCAAAATATAGATGTCTGCACCAAGACACCATTAAGCTAGACAGATAATGCCGTGGCCATTACACTGAGATGAAATTGAGGCAGAGGCCTAGGTATTTTAGTGTTTTCAGTATATAAATACTTAGGCTGGCACATTTCCTTACCCAGCATTCTCTCTCTGCTACGGCTCATTTATAGGAAATGAGTTCTAATTCTCAAGGTTAAAAGGAACTATGAGTGTGATCTGTCATCACGGAAGGAAAAAGTGGGAAAGAACCTCATAGGTCATGTCTATGTCCTCACTCTACTTCTTCAGAGATGGAGATGCAGAGGAGCAGAAGCATGCCCGGATAAAACTCTGAGTTCCTGGTAGGGCATGCATACTCACAACTGCCCATTCTGAGCTGAGTAACCTTTATCATCAAGATATCAATCAATAGGTCATTCATGTTTTGCTTAAGTCACTTTATAAAATTCTAATTATTGATTTTGTGTAACAATTTTGACCTGTCAGGTTCCCCTTCAACATTTTTAACCAATCTTATTAGAGTCTGCTCTTTTTTCAATGACAAAGCTGGTCTTTATGATACACATACAAAGAAAAGAAGGACGTAAGACTTGCCTAGAGTAGAAAATTCTGAGGGAGAGATTTTTTTTTCAGATTATTAAGCAATTTGTTCTATCACTGCACCAAAAGGGATTATGCAAAACGCTAAAAGTGAAATACGCTTGAAGTTGCCCAGAGGAAGGATTAAATGTAATTTTGTGTTCCATGAGGAAACACTCAGGTAGATCCAGCAGGTGGGACATTTAGAGGCCAGATGACCTATTTTCTTCAGTAAGTTAATGTTATGGGGAAGAAGAGGAGGTTATAGATTAAAAATGAAAAAACTTTAAGATAATTGTAAATTCCTGTGGCTTGCCTTACAATATTAGAGCAAAGGAAAGATATTGATGGAGGGTACATGGAGCAAAAATCTGACAAATTTTATAATTTTAAAATAGGTGATAGGTGCATGAGGTTTTGTTTACTTTGCTATCTTTTGTACTTGGTTTAAAATTTCCACTGTAGAATGTTGGGGGGAAAAACGCACTTAGGAGTCATAATAACCAAAAACAACTCAAGCATCCAGCTTAATGAGACACTTTTAGGACAACTAGGATACTTGACTGTAAACTTAAAACTAGTTTTGGAAAGTTACTTTCAATATTATTAAGTATGATAATGTTATCCTGGGAAGTGGAAACATGTCTATATTTTTTAGAGGTACTGCTGCATCTATGTGATAGTGTCATGACTGTTGTAATTTATCCTAAAATATTAAAACAAAACATATGAGGCAAATGTGGAAAGATGTTCATTGTCAAATCATAATTAAGGGTGTTTCTATTATTTGTATATTTGCAAATTTTAGTCATAAGTCAGTCAAATAAAGAATATTCAGTGGAATAATACTACAGAAGTGCTAAGGAAAGGTGCATTTATAATTCTGTACCTGCCTAAATAAAACCTACCTAACTAAAAATTAAGGCAAAATATGAAAGTTTAGACAAAACAACTTAACTTACATCCCACATACTAATAATATGTTTACTTTTTCATCCAGTATACTGATTATCTTTGGCACTTGAACCTTGACCTCAAACTTGGGATGCACTGTTAATAGAGACAATGGAAATAAGGGGGGCTGGTTAACACTGATTGGAAATACATGTATTTTCAACATATCTGTAATTTTCTCCAAAATGATGCCCTGAAATGTTGATGCATTTTTCAATGTAATAAGTTTAAGATGATAAAATTTAAGAATTTATGCAGAACCTAACTTCGTGACCACAGTAGATTTCAATAATATTAACAGATGAAGATGGTTCTATAGAAACAAGAATTTTCATACTTGACAGAGTATAACTTGTTACTGAAAATCACCAAGCTCATATGAGCTTTGGTGTTCATACAGTCATAATGGTCTTAGAAGAAGATATGGTTGACTCTACTTGAAGTTCTACATACCTATGGGAAATTCAAAGGACCTAAGTGAGCTCACATTTTATTAACTAAAAAGCCATGCTTTTGAAAAGTCTTCCATAATCCATACCAAATTCTTCCACAGTGAAGGAGTGTTCTATCTTTCCATTTGATTCTGTCTGTTCTACCACCTTGTAAGAGCCCTGAATAGGCTCTGATGAGAGGGGAAAGGACAATTGATTGAGGCCACTCTGTAACTTTAGACTTTGCCATTGTGCAATTCGATTTCTTCTTGGGTTCTAAAGGTAAGCAAGAAGCATGAAATAATCATTTAGTCATGATAGTCCTTGAACACCACAAATGACACTGAAGGTGATAATCGGCATTGCCTTTAGCAAGGTCAAATAAAGAAGGAAGATAAAATACAATAAACTTAACACCTAAGAGTAGGAAAAATTCAGATTTGAAAATTTTCATGGTAGTTTGTCTGTCTGAAAAACTTTTATACCTCCCTACTCCCTAAGTATACTAATTTACTTATAAGATACTTTTCCCAATACTTACCTCAAGGTATATAAATGGAATCTATATGACAAACGGAAAGCCAAAATATGATTAGAATTTCACCAAAGGCTACAATTTAAGATCTGTAATCAAACAGCTTATAGAGGAAAAATATCTGTAACTAAATTCAGCATAAAGCATCACAAAATTGGAAAAAATTTGTTTTGTAAAATTATTAACTAGTTTCAGGAAGACCATAAATAATAGAATTCAATGACAATTGTTGTGTGGTGCCATTTCCTTGGAAACTATTATTGGTGAATAATAGTATTAAATGTTTACTATTACTTGGATACTTAAACTATCCTAGTGAATAATATGAATATACTGCTTATTTTTGTAAAGTAGGAAATGGGTTTTGATAGAGTTGTATGTCATTATGATCTAGACCCAACAGAAAGAATCCTCAGAATTATTTGCTAATAGCAAACTGAGAATATTTCTTCTAGTCTTAACATTGTCTATGCATTTCAAAAACAGCTTTGTTCCTTTGCATTAATATTGAAAGCAAGTTGGAAGAAGGAAAACTAAATTAGCATAAAATAAATCTTTATGTATAACATATTCTATACTATATGTATCAAATATATAATAAAGCTATAATACGTTCTATTATATATATATATAATATGTTCAGAAGAACAAACTCTTCAGTGCTTTTTAAATCATAAACTCACTGAGAGTGAATAGTATTTAACTTTTTTCTTCTGCCTCTTTATTAGTCTGTCTTCTTTTCTCTTTATTTTGTTATTGAGATTTGGGAAACAAGTCAAGATTAGGTACATAAGTAATCTATGTGCAGAAGGTTAGGTCTTCAACTGGTCCTCACTTCCTTTGGTTTAGGATCAGGTACCCTTTGTGATTCCATGTATCTTCCTCCCTCTTTCTCTCACCTGGTAGTGTCCTATGATGGCCAATCTCTTTATTATTCTTAATGCAGTATGTTCAGAACAAAAGATGTAGCTATTGATAAATGGATTTACTACTGTTTTAAGAGAAAAGACTTCCTCATCTCTTGCTTCTCAATTTTGTCTTGTATAAGACCTCTAGATCTGTGGTGAGGCTGGAGCTAGGTTCTAATAGGAATGTCCTTTGTCTTCTGTCTTTTCTGGCTTTTTCTAGCATATTTTGGCTAAGAATTCTTACCCCATCCCTTACCTAAATTATAGATATTAGATGCTTACTAGTTCGTTTTGAGGGTGAAAATTTTCATCCACGGAGATCACACAGAATCTTACTGAAAAAGAAATTCTCTGATAAGATTCAGACATCATAGTAGGTAATTTAGATAATAAGACAGAGGCAAAGGGCTTGGGATAATGAAGACTTTGACAGGAAAACCTGCTGAGGAGTTTGCTCTACCTTCTTAGTGTTGCCCCAGCCACTGGGATTTCCCTACATACCTGTCTGTCCTGGTTTATAGATGGATTTGTCGGTCTGGACAAAGACCAGACTTTGAGAGTTCTTTACCAGCACTGTGTTCCTCTTCCTGAAATCTTGTGTAGGTCCCTTTATCTGAACAGTAAGGAATACCACCTCTGAAGAGGTTGAGATCCTTGAGAGCTAAAAACCAAAGAACTTTCTTACTGCTGAGGAATTGTGCAGTCTTCTTTCTCTAAGTTCTTCATCCACTATTATTTACTATCTCTCCTTCAGTATCACCAAGAAGTTGGTAGGTATATAAATACTTCTCTAGACATAAACGAGAAGATATTGATATAAGATACAGAAGAAATTTATTGGAAAGAGCAGTCATATAGAACCCAAATCTCCATGTAACATGCTTACGTCTCCAGCTATTAAATTATATTCATTTTAGTTGAGTAAATAGATTATGAAGGAATGGGAAAAAGTATCTCTTAAAAAATATGGGAGAATATAGAGTCTAAAAATTCCAAGTTGTGCAACTTTAAATAAGCCCTGGATGTTTTCTTACAGTATCCTGCACCATTTACACATTCAGAGAACCAAAGAAACCTAGCATTCTATGACAAGAAAAAAAAATTGCTGCATGAAGAATGTTCTCATCATGAGGTTTTTATATAATTTAATTCTAGGCAAAGTCCTTAAAGAGATGATTATTGTCAAAGGTAGGAAACTCCTCTAAGTAGTACAATTATTATGAGCAATGGAATTTTTATTTAGAAAGTAAATTAAACCTTGGCATTTGGAAAAATTATTTCTCACTTATTCTGGTGAACAATGCTTTGCTCCTTAGTAGCTGAAAACTCACTGTCTTTAGTCTTTTCTGAAATCCTAACAACATTCTGGAAGTCATCCCTTGGAACAGAACACCAGTTCTCCATTACCATGATCTCCATAGAACTCAATATAAAGGATCAAACAGGGACAACCAGCTAGTTCTCTAGTACTCACAGTGAAGGAGAAGCAGTGGAATAAGTCCTTCTCTGCCACCAGGTCAGTGAAGAGGCTTCTGTTTCCCCTCAGAGACTCCAAGGAAGCACTTACAGTTACTGTCTCATTCAGGTAGCTCAGAAGGAGGCAGGCCTTCTCAGGAGTCTCAGTATGTAGCAGGGACAGGACCAATACCATATACTGCCTAGGAAGAAAGAAAGCTAAATCAGATAAAATTTGATGATAGTAAATATTTTCATACATAAATGTGTTTGTTGTAACAATATGTATTTATTATTGCAACCAGTTCTATATTGAGTCAATGATCTAAAAATTATAAAAATATAGGGTCTGTCACTGATTGGCACAAGAATTACATCTTTTACTTATCAAATATGCCATACAATCTGGAGACACACAGTACTGGAAGTTGATTTCAAAGATGTTACAATTTCATAGGTTTTCCTTTGCTGTAAAGAGCCTTAGTATCTAAACAGTTGAATATCTATAAAAGTATATATACATCGCAACAATAAACTTGAAAACACACACACATATCAACCCCAAAGCTAAAAGAAAACAAGCAAAGAAAAAACTATAGGTACCTCATGACGGGGATAAACAATCACATTCCAAATATCAGCCTGAATGTGAATGGACTAAATGCACCACTGAAAAAACACAGAATGGCAAACTGGATAAGAAACCATGACCCAATTATTTGCTGCATCCAGGAAACTCATCTCACCACAAGGGCTGCAAACAGATTCAAAGTTAAAGGATGGAAAATGAGTTTCCAGGCAAATGGATCACAAAAGAAGGCAGGAATCATGATCTTAATATCAGACAAAACAAGCTTTAAACTATCAAAAATTTGAAAAGATACAAAGGACACCACATAATGGTAAAAGGTTCAATCTATCAATTAGAAATATCCATACTACACATATATGCACCCATCACAGGAGTACCAGCATTTATAAGCAACTACTAAGTAAACTAAAAAAAGATATTGACTCTAACACTATTATAGCAGGGGATTTGAATACCCCACTAACAGTCCTAGATAGATCATCAAGGAAAAAAATCAACAAAGAGATCTGGAACCTAAACTTGACACTCAGCCAAATGGACTTCATAGAAACCTACAGACTATTCCTCCCAACAACCATAGAATATACATTCTACTCATCATTACATGGAATGTACTCCAAGATCTATCACATCCTTGGTGATAAATCAAGCATAAACAAATTCCACAAGTTTGAGATATTGTCATGAATCTTCTCAGACCGCAGTGGAATAAAAATAAATATCAACACCAACAAAATTTCCCCAAAGTCCACAAAAACATGAACACTAAACAGCATGATGCTGAACAACTACTGGGTCAGCACTGATATCAGAAAATAAATTAAAAGATTCCTGGAAACAAATAAAAATGAAGAAAGATCTTACAAAAATCTGTAGGATGCCATGAAAAGAGTTCTAAGAGGGGAATTTATATCTCTATGAACACACACCAAGAAAATGGAAAGATCACAAGTTGACAACCTAACAAATCACCTAAGGGTGCTGGAAAGAGAAGACCACCAGAACTCTAACTTTAGCAGAAGAATCCAAATCACCAAAATAAGAGCCCAAATATGATCATAGAAGACAAAAATATCATAGAAAACATCAACAAACAAAAAGCTGGTTCTTTGAAAGAATTAACAAGATTGATGGACCCCTAGCCAGAATAACAAAGAAAAAGAGAGAAAAAGCCCAAATAAACACAATCAGAAGTACAAAAGATCAAATCACAACTGACCCTGAAGAAATACAAAAGATGATCAGAGATTGCTATGCACACCTGTATGGAAGCAAACTTGATAACTTAAATGAAATAGAGGACTTTCTGACATCACACAACCTCCCCAGGTTGAAACAAGATGACATTGAGATACTAAATAGACCAATAACAACCCAGGAAATTGACTCTGTCATAAGAAAACTACCAACAACAATAACAACAAAAAAAGCCCTGGACCGGACTGCTTTCCAGCAGAATTCTACAAAATGTACAAGGAGGAGCTGATACCAATCGTACTGAAAGTATTCCAGGAAATTGAGAAAGAATGAACTCTCCCCAAATCATTTTACAAAGCTAACATCACACTGATACCCAAATTGAGTAAAGATCCAACAAAAAAAGAAAACTACAGGCCAATATCCCTTATGAACATAGGTGCAAAAATCCTCAACAAGATTGTAGCAAATTGGATCAAAAAATACATCTAAAAAGTCATTCACCATGACCAAGTAGGCTTCATCTTCAGGATACAGGGCTGGTTAAACATCAAGACCATAAATATAATTAAATACATCAACAGATGTAAAAACAAGAACCACATGATATATCGTTAGATGCAGAAAAGTTTTTGATAAAATTCAGCATCACTTCTTGATAAAAAACCCTCAAACACCTAGGTATAGAAGGAACATACCTCAAAATAGTAAGCTTCATCTACGATAAACCCACAGCTAGTATAGTGCTAAATGGACAGAAACTGGAAACATTTCCCCTGAAAACTGGAACAAGACAAGTCTGCCCACTCTCACTCCTCTTGTTCAACATTGTATTGGAAGGCCTAGCTAGAACAATTAGACAAAAGAAGGAGATCAGGGGTATCCTAATAGGAAAAAAAGAAGCCAAGTTATCCCTCTTTGCTGACAATATGATCCTATACCTTGGAAATCCAAGAGAATCTATCAAAAACCTGCTTGCACTGATAAAGGACTTTGGCATCGCCTCAGGGTACAAAATAAATGTACAAA